TTCACTTGCTGACCATCAATCTGGCCATCTATCAGATGAAGATTTTCTTGGGTGATCTTGATAGGGCGAAGGCCAAGAGAAGCCACAATCTTGCCACCTTGGTAAGTTTTATTCCTCGTGTACTCTGTTCCTAGTTAGACCTTATGCCGCTTATTGCTCATTGTGGTTAATCCTAAAATGCCGCACTTAAGTGAACAGTTCTCATCGCCACTGTTTACTTGAATTGGGCTCTAGCCCACTCCATGCCAACTTATAACAATAGTCTGACAAAGTTCGCCTAAACCTAAGGAATAACAATCACCAAAACAACTTCCTAATCGACCGGATCCTCGCTAACAAGCGTGGTCATTGCCAGAGGGGTGATGACCGCGCTCTTGCTTCACACCCTCGTCATGGTCCACCACTCACCACTTGACTCATTGCGTCATTTGGTAGACTTTGCCGACCATAACACCATTCTAAAAGTCCACTATAGTCTGAATATTTCTAATCATTTTGTGTATACATACAATACAACACTACCATGTATATATAATTATTTGCTAGTTGGGTGACTCTCTCACTATATTAAATTTTAATTTGATATGCCATGGCCTGAAGGTGGGGAAATATGTTAGATTTTCATTAGCTGGAATGCCTCCATTCTCAGTGTTGTTCCCAACATATGAATTAGCATTGACCAATTTGGATTTACCTTTCATATTCAGTTTGAAGATATTGTAGGCAATTTCAATTTACCTAGCTGGTCCACCTTGCGACTCCGACTGTATGCTCATAGGATTACTGTGTTAAGCAAATTGATTAATCCGGTCTAAAAATTAGGTTCAGTAATTCTTTGCTCACTGAGCAGCTGCGTGCACTCTCTTTGCATTTTACTAATTTTCTGCATTCATCATACTTGCAGATTCATAAGCCTTTGTGCTATCTGACATACTCTTTAATTTTGCTATGACAAATTATGAAGGTTAGCAGTCATTTACATGCACGATGATCCAAGTCTGCTGAAAAACTTGGGAATGTGGGAATTAGAGCGCTTTCTCCCGCTTATCTCTTACTAGATTCACAATTATTGACTTGTGCATTGTTTGCTACAATTATAGTTATATCTAAAGCGAGTTTGTATAGCTTTCAAATTCGTGTGAGTTCATCCAGTTTATTCATATAAATATTGGATCTAGCTCAGTTCATAAGTTACTGGACAGCGGTAGACTGCTTTGTGTTTAACTAAATTTATGCTACCTTTTATATCGAAATTCCAATTTGGCTTGAGAGGAAATAAAACAACTTGCATGTCAAATGTTCGCTCAAATGTCTAGCACTGATATATTAACTTTTTCTATAATTTTCTCATATGCATGTTTATGGCTTTATGCAATCTCACACATGCTAGTGACAAGGCCATAAAGCATGCTACAAAAAAGCATTTCATATATACACATTGCAAATATCAAAGAATGTTTGTTTCAAAAAATCAAAGAATGCTTCTTTTCTTTTTTCGACCAGTAGGAACCAAACCAGTTTGCTTTAATCTTTGGTTTTGGCATCATGTATGATTGAGTGTATAGTTAGATGGATGATTATAGTTTAATTGCTGAATAAACACTAAAATTTATATCCTAGACGCCCACCCCATTAGTATGTTCATTGCAAGGCATGGTGCTTCTAAGACCGTGGATCTGAACCTCATCCCGCCCACCTATGCTAAAATTGTTTTGTCTCGATCAACATTGTAGTCTCAAGATTTTCAGATGATGTTGGTCTCAACCTTATCCTGCTTATGCAGCCAGAACAAGCGTAAAGATAGCAGTACCAGCAGTATGAAACTAGTGTCCCTTGATAACTTCATGGCTCTAAAGTTGAGTATTTTGTGGTCTCTCTGGGAAGCCATTTTATTGTAGAAGACTATCGGGCTATCTCTTCTATTTTGGTTCTCAAGTGTGGTCCGATAAACATTTGATGGTTAAGCAATTAGCTATCACCATAAATATTCATTTCTAGAAACAAATATTAGGTTTGTTCCGAAAAAGCAGTTGGTCATAGGAATCGTGAGCACCTTGCTACGCGACAATAAAAAAGTATTATTTAGAAACATATTCCACAGTATGATTCATTAATAAAATTATAATTGAGTGGATTCACTTATTTAGTGGACTACTTGATTCCGAGACACAAGAGTTAGTACTATGATTAATTTTTTTACATTAGAAGTGACTGCTTTGATATAGTAACTATTTTTTACTAGTTAGCAGCTCCTTTTTTGCTCAATGCATAAGCATGGCAAATTAAAACTTCAACTTGATCATCACTTTGCAGCTAGAGTTCGGTCAATTTCGATTGAAGATCCAAATATCCATGTAGTTATCGTCGGAGACTTCACTTAATGAACTTTTATCTTTTCTGATTTGTCAACCAAACCGACTCTTGTCATAGTGGGTTTTTGGTAGTCATGGAGCTATGGCCATGAAGTTCAGTTTGGATAAGCAGCGCGTGATGGGTGATGGCCAAGTGAGACATCCGTTTTTCCATGTTGGTGCGCTCCGGTAATTTTGTCTTGAGTCTTGTCCTCATTGACTCTATCTTCCTCTCTCGTGTAGTAAACTTAGATTTCTTTACCTTTTTTTGTATGGTATCTTTGGTTTCGGTTTTGTAAGAGACAAATCCATTTAAAGAAATATATATTCATTATGAGGTAATGCAAATGAGACAGGGAGATGGGGGGAGTGGCGTATGAATTAATAGTGAATATTGTTCTCGGCATTGTAAGAGACATTTTCCTATTCTTCTCGGCCAATGAATTAATAGTGAATATTGTTTTGCTCTTGCTTATTGTATCTTACAAGTTTCAGCTACAACATTACAATTCTCAAATTGCATTGTCTCGATTATTGTATGCCACTAAAATCCATTGTGTATTCATGCCCTCAATCCGTCGTGTAGTATTCCCTCGCCTCTCTAAATTTGTTGCTAGGATGATTCATACATGCAGCTCAACTAGCACTTCACTGCATTTGGGGAAGTTCTTTTGTTTTATATTTCTTCCTTTCCAACTAGACTTCAGGTATGGGAAGATGCACAAATTGATTTGTTTTGGAGTTGTTAGCAAATGAGTTTTATGTGAGAAATCAGACAAACATTATTTCAATTTTTTTTGCAAACAATGGCTGAAGGATAAGAAACTAGAACTGATAGTAATACTAGAAATAGTATTACTTGTTTTGCCTTTGCTGCATAAGTATTCAAATAATACAAACTGTAATCCATAAGAGAGAAACACAAGTTCCCTAGAAGGGCATTTTATCAAAGACCTTTATATAGACAAGTGACAAGTGCATGGTTTCAATCATATTTGATCCAACAGTTCAGAATGGGTGCCTAGATTTTTTTTGCTAGTAGAACTACATAGGCGACCTGCAGTATTAGTAATTCGGGTTTTTGATGTGATATCTTTGCGATGGTCGTATTGTATGATGATTAATCGGCAACTTAAAAAAAAAAACTAGACTTGTAAGATAAAAAAGCAGTAAATTAATGAGATTAGAAACATAGCTTAGATTGCATCCCTATTTGCATATGCTTGCATCTGGTATGGATCCATTAATATATTGGCACGATGTGTACATACATGCATGTACAAAAATCAGGGTATTGCCAACTAGTGTGGTTTAATACTAGCATTTCTTTTTGAATATTCTTCCCTGCTTTTACATGGCATCTCAAAGTATAGCTAACATATGTATCTCTTCATTTTTTTCAATGCAATCATTCATCAATGTGGGAATATAATCAGTAATCAAACATGATTCCTGTCTTAGACCTGCTAAACTTGAACTCTAAAGACTTCCATATAGAATTTCTTGAAACATATGATTACATGAAAATAGTACACAAAAGAGTAAATTATGCTAGTACTTTTTGATCGAACATTTGTTTTCAGGCTACCTTGGTATATCATATCTTCCATGCAAATTGAGCTATTTTGTGGTGCTTTTCAAATTAAACTGCAAAACCACTCACATTTTCCTTGTGGCTTAAACAGGCGAAGATTGATTGAGAGAGAAGCCTTGAACTTTGCCTTGTGGAGCTGGCTCTGACAGACAGATCATAGATGTTGCCTACTAGGACCACAGCCTTGATTAGAGCTGTACCTTAGAAGTAGCTGTGCCCTCCCAACTTGCTGTTTCTAGTAATGTAAATGTAAATAGGTTTGGGTGCATGTTTATAGACCAGCCGTGATTTTTTATATCACTTGGTGGGTATGTGTCCTAGTAATGAAAAATGAAATTCGGTCTGTTTGTGGTGGAAAATAATTGTGCTCTATTTATTTGATTTCAAAGTTCAGATTATGACAAATTTGTGCTTAATCGAATGGGCATTGATAGTCGATTTTCATGCCAAGCAAATCTAAGACGTATAGATTATTTGTACAATAATAAAACCAATCAATATCTGTTAGTAATGTGGTCACTTTACAAAAAAGTTTCAGAAACCTGCCATGCGAGTGTCACGGGCAAAAAAAATCTGTCGACAAAAAAAATCAGTTTGAAACCTGCCCTGGCGACTCTAACGAGCGGCAAAAAAAACCGAAAAAATCGGTCGACAAAAAAATCGCATGGAAACCTGCCTCGCGACTAGTATGGTTTTTTAAATGTGCAAAGTGACAGTGTGTAGCGCTTAAGTCGGGAAAAAGGGGAGATGAGCTGCGGGGCGTGTGAATAATAATCAGTACCTGAGTACTAACTAGCGCAGTCCTATATATATATATATATATATATATATATATATATATATATATATATATATATATATATATATATATATATATATAAAAGCCGATCCGTTTTCATGCATGGTGATGGTGCGTTACAACACCGAGATGAACACAGGTTAAACTTCACAGAACGGCCTCATTATGTTACAGGGAAAACTGAAAACAGTCGTGTTTACTGTATCATCAGATGTTCAGCAAAAAAACAAGGCGTGTCGTCCCAGCCTCCAATCCATCAAAGCACGTACACCATGCCGACCTCCAGCAGCGACGCCGGGGGCACGCGCAGCGCCACGTCTGGGCCGCGGCAGTTGCGCCGCAGGAAGTTGTACCCGACGTCCACCGCCAGCCGCTTCAGCACCGACGAGCCGGGCTTGCACTGCACGTGCGAGTGCCCCAGGATGAACGCCGTGCCGCACTCCCGGGCCGCCGCCAGCGCCTCCAGCTCCTCCGCTACCTGCTTGTTGTCCGCGAACTCCGGGCTCGCCACGTGGCTGTCGGTGAAGAACCGCACCTGATTCGGCCCCGCTGCCGCCGAGCTGATCTCCGCGCGCCCGGGGCTCAGGCTGTCGTCGTTGTCGTCAGCGGAGGCGGCGGTGGCCGTGGCGCGCATCTCCACGGTGGACGCTGCCGAGTGCTTCATGCTGTCCTGGAGGTCGTAGCTGGCGCGGCGCCGGAGCGGGTTGCTCGCGATCACGGTCAGCCGCCGCTCCCGCTCGCCGGGCTCCAGCTCCTGCTCGCTGGCCTCGCTGCAGCGGTACGAGGCGTCCAGCTTTATGAACGTGGCCAGGGTCTCCACGAGCTCCGTCTCGAACGAGTCCACGTCCTGGTGCACGTCGCGGTAGCCGTAGCGCACGATGCACCGGTACGAGCGGTGGCCCGGCGGGCCGACGCGCCCGATGAGGTACCGCTCCGCCGGGAACACGTACGGCACCGGCACCGACTTGACGCACACGAACACGAGCACCTGGTGGAACGCCGGGAGGTTGGTCACGAACCGGGAGAAGTTGGCCGGGACGCCCGACGTCAGGTCCGTGTACACGAGGCCGATGCCGGGGACGCGGACCATGCCCAACTTGTCGCCGAGGGCGAGGAGCCACTCCAGGGTCACCTTGTTGTGCAGGTCGAACTCGTACTTCTTGATGGTCGTGTAGTGCCAGATGAGCATGACGGCCATCAGGATCAGCGCCAGGAGGATGGGCAGCCACGCGCCTTCCAGGAACTTAATCAGGGACGCAGAGAAGTAGAGCGCCTCGATGGATCCAAAGAACAGGAGGAAAGCCAGTGCCAGCAGCGGTGGCCTGTGCCAGCACAGAACGATCACCAAGGATGTCAGGAACGTGGTCACCAGCATCACTGTGATCACAGCCAAACCTGCGGACATGCGATCGTCATCGAGGATAATCTGACACTGTGATAATAGCAAAATAATCAAGAAGCCAAAATAATCGGACACTGTAATAGCTAGTGTCAAGTAGTTTATATTACCAGATGCATTTCCCATGTGTTTTGTATCCCTAAATCCAACGGTCACAGCAATGCAAAGGATCATAAGCAACCAATTGATCTCAGGAATGTATATTTGGCCATGAATTTTCTCAGATGTGTGTACAACTTTTACTCGAGGGAAGCAGCTCAGGGACTGGCTCTGGTTGATGATTGAGAATGTTCCGCTGATGATTGCTTGACTTCCGACTACCGAAGCCAAAATTGCCAATATAAGCACTGGCCATCTGATCTTATCTGAAGTTTGCATCAAAGAAAACTTCACATGAATTCGACTGGTATTGAATTTCTAAGAGATAAGAAATTATTAGAAGAGTATCAGTCATCAGTAACTTCCTATGAAGTATACAATGGATCGATCATGGACATGCATAATAGTTGCTATCTAGACTGCATAAAGCAAGATAAAATTGACCTTTAGAATCTCCTGTCCTGTCTTATAAATAGAAATTATATTATATAAACCTTCAAACAGAAAACTATTGAAGATTCCACAAGCGTGGAATAGAATTCAGGATGTGCAGTAGATTTAGCCAGAACATTTTCTAATTTTTTTCATGCAACAGGATGGGGCAGGCTCCTACGGAACCTTTTCCAAATTATTAATCAAGCTGTCAAAAGTGCTTCCCATATGATGATTGACATAAATATGAAACCAAGATTTTTTTTGTTTCCGTTAAACGAGCAAAACTCAAATTACACATGGAATATTTATGAAAATACAAGAGCCACAAAGCATACCTGGAACTGCGATGTAAAATCCAACTTTTGAACTAGAGTAAAAGTCATGATGTTTTGATAAGTAAGCAGCTTGACCCATGTATGCCAAAATCAGTGCTGGGTAGACTAGACAAGTGAAAGCAAGCTGCACAGTAGTGTAAAGCTAGATGATCTGCACAATAATTTAACATAGAAATATTATATGAATTCTCATGCAGGTCAAGAAGTTACCTGGATTGCACTGTATGAGAAGTGTCCAAGATCTGCGAACATTGCTTCCGATCCTGCAGCATTAGAATGCTAGACATTAGCCCACTTCTTTTATTTAATTATTGATACAAACGAGAGAATCCATTCAAACAGAATGAAACATATAATAAGGATTCTGACACGATATTTAGAGGCATTCCATAGTTTACCTGTCATGCAGAGCAAGATTCCACCAAGTGACATCCAACCATACTTTCTAGTCTTTTTTAAGAACTTGAACATATGAGAAGGATTTAGAGCCTTGTAGATGTGAGGATTCCAGTGGATGATATTATAAAGGCCAAGAGCACTCATGCAGAATAGCCAGGCTAGAACTATCGGGGCAAAGAGAAATCCAACCCTGTGTGTACCATAGTGCTGGAGGGCAAATAGGAATGCTAATATGGCACAGGTTATTGGAATGACAGCATCTGCATGTAGAAGAAATAAATCAGTATGGACAAACAATGAGGTTTTAAACTGGGAAAAGGTGAAATACCATAGCAAGACAATTTATTAGAAAAGTCACCATTTTGATTTTTCACCCTCAAGTGTTCAGACTTCAGAGTTCACAAGATTGTTTTGTTGACATTTGGAGATAGTAAAAGATGCTATTGGAATTTTACTTTGCATTGGGGAGAAAAACTAGTGATTCCGATGATTGCTTTCATTATGGTATAGCTGCTGTCAAATTAATTCCCATAAGAATGTATCGTTTTTTCTCTCAAAACTGAATTCATGAACACAGCATTGCCAAAAGACAGTCAATTATTATAGCGCCTTCTTCAACCAAGATAAGATGGAAAACTCATATCAACAAAACAAGACAGCCAATGCAATCCTTTGTGCGAACCAATGCCCGCAGTTGGAATATGAATCTCAACCTAGAAGGTCCTGGAGGTACTTCAAGACTAATCGGCTATGGCCAATAGATGCCCAATTACCAGATAAGAATGTTCAGTACTAATGTGGGGAAGGAAGCCAATGACAACATAGGCCAGCATTTTGACAGATGTCCCTGTGCTAATAGTCAACTCTTCGGAATGTGAAAATGTCTAGCAAACATAGCAAAGAGGAAATGAATTCAATTTGAAAGTTTTCTAGGACAACTCACATTCACGGTGATCCTTGGACAGTGAAAACTCAAGGCCTGAAACTGCTGAGAACACTGTGACATGTTTTCAGAAAACCACAGTAAGGAACCAGCTATCAGTATTTCAATCTGAAGAAAAGAAACCCAATTGGGCTAAGGAAAAGAAAGCTGATCTGAGGATACCAGATATAGCTGGTGTGAGAACGCCGTCCCCGATAACCATGCATGTGCCAATCATAACCATGATCAGTAGAGCAACGCGCAGCTTCCTGTGCTTCTCAAGCAACACTTTGATACGGGACTTGTCGGTTATTTCAGGAGGGCATTCCAGTTTATAGGTGGAAAGCTCCTCATCAGCAATCTGACGGTTCGGGAGAAGGCTCACATTGGCGTGCCTGCAAATCAGAGAGTACAGGGCAAACGTTCCTCCTGCAGAATTGCAAAACCATATAAAACTTAAAACTCTTTCGCGAGCAAAAAGCATGCGGATTAAGTGAGAGATACTACTAGTTTTTTCACGCATACCCTCGCCATTGTCGTCAGCTCGTAGGACAACGGAGACGTACTTGATGAGAGGGATCAAGGTGAGCGTCCAGAACACGAAGGAGAGCACGCCAAAGATCTCGTCGTTCGTGTCCGAGTGCTGGATGTCCTCGGCGAAGGTGCTCGAGTACACGTACAGCGGAGATATGCTGAGGTCTCCATAGACCACCCCCAAGCTCTGGTACGCCAGCAGCAAGGTGGTCTTCCATGAGTCCCTCTGCAAGAAAACCCAAACAAACAGCTAGTAATTCAGCAAGCATTGCTCACTCCATCTCACCAACATGCTGCTAGACTGCGAAACACACATACCTTTGGGGATCTCAGGCCCCTCCCGAACTCAAGATCCATCGCGCGCTCGGCGAGAGCTTAGCCTTCACACATAACACTGGCTTTGTTTCCGCACCATTCAACAAACACACCAGCTTCAAAACACTGCCGTTGCTCCAAATCCCCAAGTAATGAAGAATCTACTGGGAAGGAACAAGGAAGAAAGGGGGAAAATACCTCAGAAACCAAGAAAAAACACTGCAAGGAGAAATTGAGGTATGAGCTCAACTCAACAGCCTCAGCCCTCAAGGGGGATAGAGCAGAGGGACCAGCCGACCAGACTAGGCAAAAGACACATGCCATGGTTAAAGCCGGTGGAGCCCTCCCCCGCCCCTGCGTCTGCGTTACCGATAGGGAGAGGCCAGGGAAGGACGGCCACGTGTTCTTGGAGCTGTGGACTACTCACTGCTACTGCTGTTGCTACTACCGAGTAGCAACACAGCACACCACGGCACAGCTACACAAGAGATCCGAGTTGCAGGGAAAGGGAGACGAGCCGGCCAAGAACAAAAAAAAAAATCTCCCTAGGTCACATCGAAATTGCTATCTCGTTATACCCACGGATGTAGATGTGCAAATTCAAGGTGTGGTGTTGATGCAATCGGGAAAAAAAGGCACCGAATGCGTTTGGGGAGCAGAGTCGAGGAGGAGCACGCCATGTGAAACTACGGACAAATGCATGTGATCTCCCTCCCTTCCCTCTCGCTCTCGCCCACTTTTGAAGACACGCGTGCCACCGGCCGGAGCCATGTAAAAGGCGTCGTTTCATAGCAGCTCATCCCCTGACGATCCTGGATGGAGAAACGAGAGTTGAATTCTTCTAGTACACCCCCATGACCATGAGATGAGAGTGACATGCTCCTGGCTGAGAACACGGCCGTAGTTATCGCTAATGAATGCAATCAAGGGGCTCGTCGTCATCCATGTTCTACTAGTAGTACATAACTGCTCCGAAGCTCTAGCTCGTGAATTGCTGTCTGTTTCGTGGTAGGTCCAATTCCAAACAATGCAATCCCCGTGAGAGCATCTGCTTGATATGGCAAGGATTGGATGGGCCAGGACCCAGGAATCCTCACGCCACAAGGAACTGACGCTAACCAACCAAATCCCCCCACAAGGCCACAAACACAAGAATAACAGGGGAGCATCTGCCCATACCTTCTTGCAGGTTTGTATTGTAGGAGTATCTACAAATATAAGCGCATAACACTGTAAGTAAAATCTAACCAGCAGAAGAAAGGGAAACCACGAACTCCCAGCCCCTTTTTGCTGTAGATAATAACGATAAGTACCAGACAGCATAGAAACAGAAACACCACCTTGCGAGGCTCCCGTGAGAGCGAGGCTCCTCTTCTCGGAAGCTGGACTGCAACAACTACAAACCACAAACAGAGTTTCTATAAGGGTGTAATTATAAATGTCCATAATGCCCGGGGCACGACGGCCCGGCCCGAAGCACGACATTTTAGCCCGACACGAGCACGGCACTGCCCGGTAAGCAGCGGGCCCAGGCCGGCCCGGCCCGATACACAGGGCCGTGCTTGGGCCGTCGCTCAAGCACGGCGGGCGGCACGGCACGGCCGGGTCCACAAGGGTCGGCCCGATGGCGGCCTGACCTGCTAAGACCTCAACAGGCTAACCCTAACTCCCACACCCTCTCACTCTCTCACCCCTCCCGCGCAGCCCCCTCCCAATCCTAGCACTAGCAGGGAGCAGCGCCGCACTCTGTCGCCCACTCGCCCCGCTCGCCTCCTCGGCTCCTCCCCTTCTCACCTCGCAGACTCGAAGCTCGCGCTTCCCTCTCGCTCGCCTCTTCCCCACGCGCAGCGCGCCTCCCTCGCGTGTGGCCGATGTCTCCCTCCCACACGCGGTGTCCACGGTCAGATTCAAGCGCGTGGTCGCCGTCTCCGGACTCCCTCCCCACGCGGGCCCACCTCCAGGGCAAGCGCGCCGGCAGCCGGATCTGCCTCGGGGGCGAGCGGCGAGCGCGCCGGCGACGGCCGCCCTGCCTCCTGCTCTCCCCTTCCCTCTCTCTGTGGGCCTCGGGCCAGCTTGGCATGTTGGATGGGCCGTGCTTCTTGGGCCGACCCGGCCTGAAAAACGGCCCAGCAGGCCGTGCCTGGGCCGTTGGTCAGGCACGACGCCCACCTCGACACAGCCCGGGTGGCACGGCATGCCGTGCCGACCCGACCCCCTTCGGACCGTGCCTGGCGCCAGGCTAGCCCGTTGGCCATCTATAGGTGTAATGTAATATAAATGGAGCAAGAAATTGAGCGGTGGGTCTGGTCATCTGGTGAGGACGAGGCAAAGACTTGCAGAGGCTCTCCTGTCCCTATTTTTTACAATTTAATCTTTTTTGAAAAAAATTTATGTTTGGCCCTCTACGAGACGTAAACTCATCTTTGGATCCTAGGGGTCGGCGCCATGACTCATGGCTCCGAGGTAACACATCTCGGCACCACAGATCTTGGCTCTGAGGTGCCTGGGCGTGCACAGCAGGGCATCCTAGGTGACGTTGACGTGGCCGGTACCTCGGAGCCACAGATCTTGGCTCTGAGCTCGGCGCCAAGATCTGTGGCTCCGACCCGAGCTCGGAGCCATGGATCCTGACGCCGAGCATGGATTCAAAACCCATGGCCAAACCACAATGGTTCAATTTGATGTCGAAGGATGGCACTTGTAAGGCCAATGTGAAGACAACATGCGGCTCAAGAATCATTGTTTATGAAATTAACGTGCTGCTTGGTTTGATGTTCCTGGCCGTAACCAGTTCATGATGCAATCTAATTGCGCTTCTTGCTGTTTGATTCACATAGTCCATAATGGATAACAGCGTGAACCATTACAGGTCCATAGAATGCAGATACTGCTCATCATCTAGCGCTAACTAATCCAGTTGCCCGCTCCCTTGCGCACTCACGGAAACAAACAAATCAACGGCTTCGTGATGTGATCCCTTACCATTTACAATGTTTAGACAACACATTATGAAAGGATGAATTTGAAGAGCAAGCTGTAAAAACAATATAATTGTCGTCACCAAAAGCATTGACTGTCATTTTATTAAAATATAGGTCTACAATATTCAAGATGGAAAGGTAAACTCGCTTAAGATATACAGAAGTAACACATAGGTATAGTTAGATGTCTAAATGAACCTTTTAACTAAAATCAGCTTTGGAAATTATTTCTAGAGCGCACACACCATATCCGTACCAAAAACAGGTGCAGGAATACACATCAAAAGGTGGCTTACACCACCTTTTTGGATCAGTTTTATAACACGGCCACACGGGCTAAGTTCATATGCATGCGTGATTCCTTTATTGTACTGTAGCAGTACTGTGACGAAGCCCAAGAAGCCCCAAATATGCTCATCCTCGGGCTCCTCCATTTTCTACTTTATTTCTAGAGAAGCTAGAGCCGTTTTTCTTTCCGCTACATTAGCCTACAGTAAACAACAACGATGTACATGTTAGGAGCAGAGCCTAATACATTGTGTGTGTGTTTTAATTTAGATATTTGAAGATGATACTAATAATATAGTAATCTCAAAAGTTAATTTCATAAAAAAAAATATTTGTTATTTTTATAAACATTTTTTTATTAAAAAGTACATTAGTATAGAAAATATTTTTACCGACGACGTTTTTTGATTTGTACTGGTGTGAAAGTTCAATTTCTACTAGCGTCACTTAAAAACTACAGCGTGTAAATCGATCTACACTAGTAGAGCATATTTACACAAACCATATGTGCAAATCATTTCTAGAATTTATAAATTTATAAATCAGTCCAGCAAAAAAAAACTAATCAAAAGAGGCCCACTAGCCAGCCTCTACAGCCGTGGGTTTTGAATCCATGCTCGGCGTTAGGATCCATGGCTCCGACGTCGGAGCAGAGATCCACGGCAACGAGGTCGGAGCCACATATCTTGGCGCCCTCGGAGCCAAAATATGTGGTTTCGAGGTACCGGCCACATCAACGCCACCTAAATGTCCTGCTGTGCACGGTCCGGCACCTCGAAACCAAGATTTATGGCACCGAGATGTGTTCCCTCGGAGCCATGAATCTGGCGCACCGATCTCAGGATCTAAAGATAAGTTTACGTCTCTCAAGGGGGTCAAACGTAAATTTTCTTTTAAAAAAATCAAATTGTAAAAAAATCCTGTCCTCCCAACCACCGAAGCAGCAGCTGTACTACTACTCTACTGAACGGAGCGAGTTGGCGGTGGCATTAATCCTCCATCAATGAACGCCAGGAAAACGGATCCTCCGCACCGGACGAAGAGATCGATTTCGCCCCGCATTTATACTAGCGCCTGAAACAGCTAGTCCCATCCCAACGGGCCAACCTTGCCTGCACAAAAAATTCCCCAACAAACGATATCGAACGCGACAAGAAACCAGTAGTAGTAGCTACGGAGGACGAGAGGAGGAGCTCGTAAAGCTCGCACCTTTTTGGCAGCATCAACTGTCGGCAAGTCTGATCCTCGAGACCAGCTACCGTGTGATGAAGCCACAGCTGAACCTGGGGAGCGCCATCTGGTACCGCTCGGCCCAGTGTCCGCATTGCCGGCCTAGAACGAAAACGCCGAGTATATGTAGTAGCTGAGAGAGTCAGAGAGGACTACAAACCATTTCGTAACAAACATATGTTCTAAATTCAAGCACTCCTGATTAAGCCATATCTGAACCTGGGGAGCGCCATCCGATCCCTCCTCTGAGAACTTCTCCAATTCCTTCTTGCCGCACTCAGTTGATTGCTAACAATTGGTATCGGCTTTCAGGTTCTCAAGTCAGAGAGGACTACAAACCATTTCGTAACAAACATATGTTCTAAATTCAAGCACTCCTGATTACGATATCCTCTGTTCCTCCGATCCCCTCCTCTGTTCTTCTCCAATTCCTTCTCTGTACCAGTTGATTGCTAACAATTGGTATCGGCTTTCATGTTCTCAATCCTGGAACCCGCCCCTTCCCCTCACCCTCACTTACTCGATTCCAGAGGGCGCGAGGTGCGATGGAGCCGAACTTCAAGCTGCTCCTCGATGAGATGGCGGGCCTCAATCGCCATTTCGATGCATATGATGACCGCTCGAACCGGCGGTTCTCGGATCTGGAGCGCGGCCTCAATGACCATGCTTCCGCCGTTGACTCCTGCATCACCGTTCTGGAGGAGTCGCTCACCGCCAACTCCGACAATCTCGCTCGCCGCGTCGCCAAGCTAGAGGCGGATCCTTTTGCTCTAGGCGCTTCGGCGGTGGCGTCCCGCCTCGCCACCTTGGAGGCCAGCTACACCAACCGTGACATGGAGTTCACCCAGCGCCTCTCCCACCTCGAGTCCCTCCGCATCGGCCCCAACTCCATCGAGCGTGACGATCGCGTGAAGCAGCTCGAGGCCACGACGGCGGATCCGGCGTCCTGGTGCCCCAGCGTTGATGGCGTCCTCGACAACGTTCACATCACCGTGAAGAAGTTGGAGAAGTCCCGCGACAGCGACGTGTTCGACGCAATGTCGCATGAGCCCGGTCTGCTTCCGACTCCGACCAAGGCGTTGGCGTCATCTCGCGACCGCGACGTGTTCGACACAATGTCACACGGATCCGGTCTGCTTCCTACTCCAACTAAGGCGGCCATGCAAGTTTCTGCCGGATTCACCGCCAACCCACCCGTGATGGGGCACCACGTCGAATCGACTCCACGGGATTCGGGATCCGGGGTCGTCACGACCTGGATCCCTGTCCCGGGCAATGGTATGTAGCTGGATCCCCCACCCCATGTTTTTTAGTCCACTGTTCTAGGTCATCCTCACCCACCTCATCCACCTTGGCCACCCTATCACCCAGCGATGATCGCCCATCCTCCTCCTCGCCCACCCGATCCACCACGTATCACCTACTAGCCTGCCATGTTCACCCACCCTCCACCTCGTCCACCTCCACCTGATCCACCACGTTCTTCTCACCTTGGCCGCTTGTCGAAGGCTCCCTTCCCTCGCTTCGACGGTGACAACCCGCGCTGTTGGAAAACTCGTGCTGAGAAACACTTTCCTATGTATGAGGTTGAGCAGTCTATGTGGATTAGCGTGTCTGAGATGCACTTTGATGGTCCTGCCTCTCTCTGGTACCAGTCTATCGAGCATCAAATTCTTGAGTTGTCCTGGTCTGACTTCTGCAAACTGATGCACGATCGTTTCGATCACGATCAGCACGAGTCCTTGATCCACCAACTTTTCCATATCAGACAAATCACCACTGTCTCCGATTATCTTACCCGTTTCACATCGTTGGTGGATCAGCTTAAAGCCTATTCTACTACACATGATCAGCTCTACTTCACTATGCGTTTTGTTGATGGCTTGAGACATGACATTAAGTCTGTTGTTCTTTTGCAATGGCCAAAAGATTTGGATACTGCCGCTACCCTTGCTTTGTTACAGGAAGAAGTTGCTCCGGGTGCTACTACCCGTGTGGGTCGTTCTGGTGATCGGTCTTCGTCGGCTCATTTTCCGGTGCATCCTCGGCAACCTTTGCAGTTGCCTCCACCACCATGCCAAGACAAGACTCAGTCGGCCGCTACATAGCCCGATCAGGCTGTTGCTGCTTCCCCAGAAGGCTAGTTGTCCGCGCTCAAGTCGTACCAGCGTCCACTGGGACTTTTGTTTTAAGTGCAGCGCTAAATGGTCTAAGGACCACAAATGCTCACCTGAGGTGTTGCTGGTAGTTGAAGGCATTTGGGATTCTCTGCTGGAGTCTAGTGAGGATTCTAATTCTACATCATTTGATACTGCTGATGCACAGTTGTTATTGGCTCTGTCGAAGGCTGCTTTTGGTTCAGCGGAGTCTGGTCATGCTATCTATTTTGCTGGATCTATTCAGTCCCATGCAGTATCGGTGTCAATTGATTCTGGTAGCTCAGCTTCGTTTATCAGTGTCTCTTTAGCTGCCAAGCTTGTTGATGTTTCTGTGATGCCGGTACCTAGTACAGTCAGGGTAGCTGGTTGTGGGTTGTTACAGAGCTCTCAGTTGCTTGTGCAAGTGCCTTGGACAATTGAGCAGGTTACTTTTGTCACTGATTTTCGGGTGTTGCAGTTGACCTCTTATGATCTTATAGTTGCGATGGATTGGCTTGAGCAGTTTAGCCCGATGCAAGTTCATTGGTTGCAAAAATGGATGATGATACCTTATCAGGGACAGTGGATTCTGTTACAGGGCCTCAATGCTGATATGCCTGATAAGATGATCTTACTTCGGCTTTTACTGAGCAGCAGTCTGTTGGCTTATCTTACCTTCTAGAGATACAGGACTTATTGGATCGCTACCCTTCTGTTCTAGATCCTCCTACTGAGCTACATCCATCCCAGTCGTGCAATCACACCATTCCACTGATACCAGGGGCTTAGTCGGTGTTCATTCGGCCATATCGGTACCCTCTTGGTTTGAAGGAAGAAATTGAAAAGCAAGTCAATGAGATGTTGTCTCAGGGCCTCATCAAACCAAGCTCTAGCCGTGCTCTTGGTCAAGAAGAAAGACGGGTCATATCGGTTCTATGTGGATTTTTGCCAGCTTAATGCTATTAATGCAAAATCTAAATTTCCAATCCCTGTTTTCAATGAGCTTATGGATGAACTTGGCTCTGCTAGCTGGTTTTCCACATTGGATCTCCGTGATGGTTTTCATCAGATATTATTGCAGCCTGGAGAAGAACCTAAGATAGTATTTCAAACTCATTGCGACCAATATGAATTCAATGTCATGGCCTTTGGTTTGACTGGAGCTCCTGGAACTTTTTAAGGGGCTATGAATTCAACTCTAGCGCCCGGCCTTCGGCGTTTCGTATTGGTCTTCTTTGATGATATTTTGGTATACAGTCATTCCTATGAGGAACATCTCCATCATCTTGATGTGGTATTTCAGTGGTTGGCTAAGGACCAGTGGAGAGTGAAGCTGTCTTTGCGCAACGCGAGATTGCATATTTGGGCCATGTATTGTCAGAGCGTGGCTTGTCTACAGATCCTGCAAAAATTCAGGCAATCTCTTCTTGTCCAGTGCCCATGAATGTCAAAGCTTTGAGGGGATTCCTCGGCCTGGCTGAATACTATCGTAAGTTTATTAGACACTTCAGCCTCATTGCCAAGCCATTGACTGATATGTTGCGCAAGGATTCGCTGTTCATTTGGACCTCTCTTCAACAGTCGACTTTTGATGTGTTGAAAGCTGCTCTCTGTGCTGCCCATGTGCTCGGTCTACCAGATTTCTCTCAACCATTTCATATTGAGACCGACGCGCCTAGAACAGGTGTGGGTATAGTTTTACTTCAGAACGGACACCCTTTGGCCTTTATTAGTAAAGCATTGGGACCGCGCAATCTGGGTCTATCTGCGTACGAGAAGGAGTACCTGGCAATACTATTGCCTGTCAATCAATGGCGTCATTATCTTCTTTAGTCTGAATTTGTTATTCATACCGACCACCGCAGCCTAACCCACCTAAATGAACAGAGGCTTCATACGCCTTGGCAACAGCGCGTATTTACTAAGCTGCTCGGTCTGTGGTACAAGATTGCATATCGTAAGGAGTCTGACAATGGTGCAGCGGATGCATTATCTCGCTGGGATCATTCATGTGAGCTCTTGGCAGTCTCGTCTCCGGTTCACTCATGGTTGGAGGTTCTGGTGCAGTGGTACTCTACTGATTCTGAAGCCACGACTGTGCTCACTCAGCTGTCCATTGATAGTTCTTCTAGACCATCGTTTCAGCTGCGGAATGGAGTCATCCTATACAAGGATCATGTTTGGTTGGGCTCCAATTTAGCTCTGCAGGTTTAGGGTATCTCTGCCTTGCACAACAGTCCAGTGGACAGCCATTCTGGGGCACCCGCCACTTATCAGAAGCTCAAGAAGTTATTCTATTGGCCCGGAATGCGGTCTGTTGTCCTTAAACATGTTCAAGCCTGCTCTATTTGTGCTCAAGCCAAACCAGACCGCTCAGCTTACCTAGGTCTTCTCCAACCCTTGCCCGTACCAAGAGCTTCTTGGAAAGTCATCTCCCTCGATTTCGTGGAAGGGTTGCCGTTTTCTGAAGCTGCCAATGCCATCTTGGTTGTTGTTGACAAATTCTCCAAGTTCGTGCACTTCATTCCATTGAAGCACCCGTTTTCGGTAGCATGAGTGGCTCGTCTCTTTATGGATCATATCTTCAAGCTCCATGGTATGCCTAAGGCCATCATTTCTGACAGAGATCGAGTATTTACCACTCGGTTGTGGCAGCTTTTGTTTCAACTGGCAGGCACTGAGCTTCGTATGAGCACTGCATATCATCCCCAGATGGATGGCCAGACCGAACGCGTAAACCAGTGCCTCGAGACATACCTCCGCTGTTTTACTCAAGCATGCCCTCAACGTTGGAGTAAGTGGCTGTCCTTGGAGGAATTCTGGTACAATTCTTCATTTCATTCTGCCTTGGGTTGGTCGCCTTTTGAGGTCCTCTACGGATATCCTCTGCGCCACATTGGTCCGGATGTTTCAGTGGCTGATCCGGTTCTTGAGCTGTCTCAGTGGTTAGAGGAACGTGAGTTGATGCATCGACTGATTCAGCATCATCTGTTGCGTGCCCAGGACCGCATGAAGAAGCAGGCCGACAAATTCTTCTCAGAGTGCTAGTTTGCAATTGGAGATTTTGTCTACCTCAATCTCCAGCCTTACATCCAATCATCAGTATCCAGGCGTGCATATCAAAAACTGGCTTTCAAGTTCTTCGGGCCATATCGTGTGCTGGAAAGCGTCGGGAAAGTTGCTTATCGCCTAGAGCTCCCAACTTCTACATCAGTTCATCCCATGTTCCACGTTTCCTAGTTGAAGCTCTCGGCTAGAACAAGACTGTGAGCTCTACTCTTCCTACTGACTTGTTGAGTTTTAGGTACCTTTGCTTATTCTGCAGCAGCGCTGGTCATCTGGTCCGCGCCCAGTGGAACAGGTTTTGGTGGAGTGGTCGCATATGCCCGCCTCTCTTGCTACCTGGGAACCCCTGGAGTACATCAAACAACAGTTTCCAAGGACGTCGGCTTGGGGGCAAGCCGCTTCTCAAGATGGGGGAATGTCAGCAGCTCTGATCCTCAAGACCAGTTACTGTCTGATGAAGCCGAGCGCCATCTGGTGGAAGCCCGCCCAATTAAACCGCTCGGCCCAGTGTCCGCATTGCCGACCCGGAATGGAAACGCTGAGTATATGTAGTAGCTGAGAGAGTCGGAGAAGACGACGAACCATTTTGTAACAAACCTATGTTCTAAATTCAAGCACTCCTGGTTACGATATCCTCTCTTCTTTCAATCTCCTCCTCTGTTCTTCCCAATTCCTTGTCTGTACCGGTTGATTGCTAACATCAACGCGCACCAAATGGCCGGCAGCTGCCAAGAACAGGCGGCCTGCTGCGCCTGCCCTATCTCCTCACGGACGTCGCAATGCTTGTGCTGCGGCAAGGAGCGGCGGCCTCCGTTCGCCCCGGACGAAGACGAGGATGCGGGCGTCCAGCCACGCTACGCTCCCTCCATCACTCAGCTACTGGCTTGGTATCCATTGATCGGAGGACAAGACTACACTGTGAACACTAGTGTAGCATATACAACAATGGCAACCAATAATTACAAAGGAGTCTTCTCGAGTTGGTGAGAATCCTTACGAGGGCCCGGCCGCCCGGAGAGAGATCAGCAAAAGCTGAGAGCAAATTCCAAGGGCGGTAGTGTGTCCGGGAGCACGCGCGGCGATTTGTTTATTATTCTGATCGGAGCCGGGCGGGCCGGCGGGTGAAGGCAACCGCCTGACCGAGGCACGCACGCAGGCACTGACGCAGCCAGGGGCCAGGGCCAGGGCCGCCGGGCGAGTTGCTTTCTCGTGCCACCTTCGGCACCGCGAAACCCGACCCGAGTTGCCGCGCCGGAGGCCCTCGCATAGCGCCGGAAAGCCACCGGATTTCCGGACAAACGCTTGTTGGTCTTGGAATCTGGATGTTATAAGCGAGCTGGTAACTGCTCCGTCGATCCGTCAGAAAATATGTAATTCTAACATTCAAATTTAGTTCAAAAATTAATGCAGATTTTAGTTAGATGGGCCCGTTCTAGATAAAAATAAAATGATGCTCGCATTCAATATGTAAGGTCATGATCCCATAGAGTTTTGTCCGTTTTGGAGCACATGCGTCATTTTATTTTTCTCAACACTAAGCTGTCTGAAAATTGCTTCAATTATGCTCTCGTTTTTCCTGAACGGAAGTAGTACACTTTTTTCACCTTTCCTCAGAGATGGGGCCTAAAAGAAATCCATAAACTGCTGGGTCTGCTGCCCCTGCTATGAAAGACTGCGTCTGTAGTACATCCTGGTAATGGTAAAAGCTGTGGCAAATTGCCTAACAACCTCTCACATTCTGGCTCTTTTATGTAAACGGCAGGGGTGGAGGGTGCAAGCAACAGATACAAAGTGACAAAAAATTGAAAGCGATGTACTACCTGAACTAGGGATACTAGTTTTACAAATAGATCATCAGGCTCATTGCAAACCACAAAAAATAACATTCACAGCGCAACTCCCAAAGATGCTCCTAGCTCCTAGGCTCAAAAAAACGACCAGAATGTACCCATATATAGCTAGTAGTCTAGTACTCTAATCGTGAATGACAAGCCGGCTGATAAGTTGAAGCGATAAGCCGGTGATGGTTTCTGTGAAGTTGATTTATTCCATAGCTGGTTGATAAGTTCAAGCGACAGAGGAAAAATCCTACATCCGAATCTAGTCTTGGCTTTGTGTTTAGCATGTGTGTGTGAGAGAGAAGAATCTAATCCTACACTGTATATGATATAGGACTTATAGGAGTAATAATAACCAAATATTAACAATCAGCTTTAGACGCTTGTTTTGGGACATGCACACATGATATACATGAATGAATTCATGGACCGTGGCATCCAACTGGGCCGGTCACCGTGGCATCCTCCAACTGGGCTGCTAACCTGCAAGCCCAAGAGCCTGCGGCTCATCAGAAACCGCAAAAGTCGTCGGCCCTGGGCTGGCCCGGCTGGCCGATCTGCGTGCAGCCCCCGGTGCAGGCGGCCGCGCAGTCGAACTTGTCCGCGCCCGCGCCGAGGGTCATGCACCGGTTCTTCATGCAGTCGCAGAAGCACCCCAGCTGCTCCGCCGCCAGGGCCGCGGCAATAATCGCCACCGCCAGCCACAGCATAGCCGCTGCTCTCCTGGACGCGGCCATCGTGATACCTCCCGGTCCCGGCCTACGGATTTATTCCCTTC